TAGAACGGGATGAAGTGGATGAAGCTTAAATCAAACACAATTCAAGCAGATCCATTCAAAACAAAGATAGAAAAGTGGGCGACAAGAGCAAAGAACTCATAGTTCAATTGGACGACGCATGGTGGGAGCTTTGAAGAATCTAATGGGATGATGCATGGCGGGAGCTCCAACCACTCTAAAACAAGATACACAGCGGGAGCTCCAGATACTCTAGACCGGACACACGGTAAGAGCTCTAAATAATTGAAGAAGACCCATGCATAAGAGAAACCGAGCATCTGTGAAAATGGAGAGCAGTCATGTGTTTATTTTCTTCTAAAGGCAATATAGGAATATAATAAAAATAATAAGGGTAAATTTAGCCCCCTTCCAAAAAACTCTAATTTGAAGGGAACCAAAATAAAGGGAGGAGAGGAAAAATTTTAGCTCCCCTCCCTTTCAAAATTTTTTAACCAAATGAGAGAAATGGAGGCCTTCCCCTCCCGTCCATTTACTCCTAACCAAGCAGAGCCTAAATGCACAAAAGCCTAGGCTTCTTACTCACTTGCCACCAACACTTGTTCTGCCTCATCATTGTGGCCTCCGCGAGAGACGAAGGTACAAAAAGACCTTTTTATCTTAAGTTCTGCATCCGTTATTGTAGAGATTTTAGAATTGAATCTTCAACAAGTTATTAATCACTAGTTTTCTTTTATGAAAGTTCTAGATTTTAGAGTAATGAACTAATCATATACGCACAAGGTCACACCCATCAGTTTCAAAGATTTGTAATGGTCAAACCATTATTTGGGTACAATCCATAAGGGTGCCCTAGATATATCACTATTACATGATCCTTCTTAAACTTATGTAAGATGAAATATCAAATGATTGCTCCAAAAAAAAACGACTACAAATTGAAAAATGGTTCTGTCATTGCTGATAAGTTCCCAAATTCTTTCTTTGAATCCTAGTTTCAAACCCAAAAGCAAAAGCTACCACAAAAATTCTTAGTACAAAATAGAAAAGGAAATTACAAGGGAGCTACTCTGGCCTGAGTGAATTTGCAAGGAAGCTTGGACCGTACCAGTCTGACTCTAATAGTATTGAATGTTCAACTGGATAGCGCAAGGAAGAAGTTGTGAACTAAAGCAAATTTTGACTGCTGAGACAAGATTGAGCATGAGGTTCTTACGAGAAGTACAAACAAATGAGAAGTCCAAGAACTTCTTGCTTTTCGTCATTGCTCGCCATGGCAGCGGCAGAGCAAGAGAGAGATGAAGGAATGGGAAGGGAAGTCCTTGAAAAAGAAGAACAAGAAGAATCAAGAACCCTAATAAAAGAAGAAGAACTTCACTTACAATAAGAAAATCATCGAAGCTTGGTTCTATTATGAAACTTATGAATTTGCAAGAGACAAAGCAGGCCAAAATCAACAGGCAAAGAGAGACGAAGAGAGGGATGGAAGGGAAAGGGAGGGTAGGAGAGATAATTTATAGGCGCCTAATAATGGATGACTCCTTAAAAGTAATGGGAGGGTAGGATTATCCCAAGTTTAATTATGTAAGGTTTAAAATGTACTCTTCCATCTTAAAATATAGGGTATTTTTGAAAGAGTTTCTCCATCTCAAAATATAAGACACTCTTGATAGATTAAGGTTTTATTAAATGTGTCAATTTTAATATTATCCTTTCTCTCTATATAATTATTTTTTATCCATTTTCTTTTCAATATATTAAATGATAGATATTTTTAAAAATTTATATTTATATTTTGAAAAGATAAGGTTATTAGGTGTATTTAATAAGGTTTATTAATACGTGAGATTTTATTTAAAAGTATCTTATAATTTAAAATAAATGAAGTATTAAATATAAATTTAGAGTTTAAGTGGTTCTAATATTTATAATTTCTGGTCTATATTATCATTTGATCCTAATTTAAATTTATTGATCTCTAGAGTGCCGGAGTTTCGATGGCTGGCGTTGGTGACCATGGGATTGACCTTTTTTTTTTTTGTAAATTGTAGAAATAAAGATATTTTTGCCATTTTACGCTCAAATTTATTCACGTTAAGAATTATTTGACTTTTTTTTTTTGTTGCAAAAAATCTTGCTTCACAGGTCCACTGTTGCGATTTTTCCATAAAAGAATAATATGGTTTATTTATTGGTTTTGGATGGAGGGTGTATTTTGGGATTCGGGTCCTCTCCTTTACAGAAGCCTCCTTCACCTTTCATTTAAAATAAAAACTTAATTTAAATTATTCAAATTTAACATTTTTATTTTTATTTATATTTTTAAAATATAATATATATAAAATTTGTAAATTTTTTTAATAAATATACTTATCAATCTAACAGTCTAGATTTAATATAAATAATCTAAAATTAATATTAAATTTTTTAATAAATTTATTATTTTGTTCAGAATATATGTATACTTTCCATAATATATCTGAAAAATTAATTTAAATTTAAATTATCTATATTAAATTTAAAATGTTAGATTGATAAATATATTTATTAAAATTTTTGTAATTTTTATATATTTTTTATTTTAAAAATATAAATAAAAAGTAAAAAATAAAAAATAAAATTATTAAATTTAACTCTCAACAGCCTAAATTTTTTCTTGTTTTAAGAGAGGCAGAGGAGGTTTTTTTAAAAGGAGGGTGGCCGACTCCCGTATTTTGTCATTTTGTGTTTGGTTGGAATTTAGAAGGCTACAGCGCGTCAGTATGAGTTCTCTGCGGCCTGTGCCCTTCGTCAACACAACACATTTATTCATTCCCACATTCCCTCTTTGTGGGACATAATTTCTCTCCTTTAATTTCTTACCCCTCAACACTTATTCCCTTATACAATATAATATACACCTTTTCTCTCTTCTTTTTTCCCGTTGAAATAATGTAGCACATCTTTTCTTACCATAATTACTTTTCCCCAAAAAAAAAAAACATATTTGTGTTCATAAAGCTTAAACTTAAAATTTTTATTTTATCACATTACAATCAGATTCTCCAATTGAAACATGATACCTAGTAATATGAGAAGCGTATAATTTTTTTAAACAACTACATATTCGTCGGGAAATCAAATTATGCATACACACTTGTCAGGTATTATGTTAAAATTAAACCATAGTTCATCATGCTTTAGCTATAAAAATGGATGACAAGCAGGATATAATAAGTTGCATTTAACTGAAGCAATAATGCAATCCCAAAACACAAAAGGATATGCAATGAAGAAATGATTCCCATGATTTTTTTTAGAGTGAAAATTATATATATAAATATATATATATATATATATATATTTTTACCCCCACACTTCTACGTCACATTCAAATGACTTGTTTTACCAGTGGCAAGTAAAGCTATATGGAATCTGAAAAATAAATGGGGAAATCCACATCTAACCATGTTTAAATGTAACATAATTACGTGAAAATGTATAAAATTATTTAAACTTTAAAATAGTTACATGTAACCACTTCATCTTTAAATATTTAAAATTAACTCTTCTAAAATTTAATTTTATTTTTTTCAAAGCTCTTTATTATTAATTAACTCTATTATGTTATTAATAGAGTTTGCCATGTCAGACTAGTGAAATGCACATGGCAAGTGTTATGAAAAAAAATATATTTTTATTAACTTTTTAACATAAAAAATTATGCATGATTGATAATGAAAAAAATGGATAAAACTAATAATATAAAATTAAATATTTAAAAAACAGTATAATTTTTATACACTTATTATTTGATTACATAAAATGCCATGTAAGCTTTTATGTGGCTTTTTTTAATATATGACATGGTAAACTCTATTAATAACACAGTAGAGTAATTAATAGTAGGGGTTTTGAAAAATAAAATTAAAGATTAGGAAGTTAATTTTAAATATTTAAAGATAAAAATAGGATTATATGTAACCATCTTAAAATTTAGGAGGGTTTTATGCATTCCGGCTTATAATTATCCATGCAAATCCTGCCTAGATTGTATCAACAGCGAAAGATTCAGACACCCAATTCAATTGACACAGCCATTTGATTGTCTCCAAGTTTTTGTCCCCTTATAAATAAACTGTTTGTGCTTGTCTTGTTTTTTTTTTTTTATCTGATGTATAATATATATAGGACAGGGGTTGCGTAGATGGTTTTACAATTTCGTGTCTTGAATGTACTGTTCTTTCCCTGGAAAATTAAGTCACCTGATGACTTTATCTATCAAATAATCCAAAACTATCTATGTGCTATCAAAAAATTAAAAAAAGGAGTCTGAGTAAGTAGTGATCTGTTACCAACTTAATGACATAAAAGGATATTAATCCTCATATGTTTGTACCCGGCCTAATGATATTGACTAAGACCAGAACACACACATCAAATAAAATAGAATAAGAGAAAATAAACAAATAAACAGAGCTCAAGATCTGGATTCATCGGAGCACATAGGAGCACATACTTACGGCACATTTGTTTCTCTAATATCGATCCCAATGATGAAAATTTGTTCAGTGAACGTGTCAAACTTTAATTTGTGAAGGTAAAGTAAGCTCCCCACGGCGTGAATGAATCAAAAATGTGTATAAATTAATTAGTCCTTGCCTACCAAGACCACTTAATTATGAATAACCTCTCCATAATCGTCAATGACAAAGTATTTCCATGGAAGGAGTTAAATTTATATATTTTTCATTTCCCACAAAGCAGAGAAGAAGTATATAATATATATATATATATATATGTATAAGAGCATGAAAGTCATCTGTACTAATTATAGATACTAATTTACAGATACTAATTTTGGAGGATGGCGCCTACGAGTACAAAGTGCAGGCACTAACAAGAGATTTGCTCAGACACGGAGACAGTTGAATTTGATATTATTTATGAAATGAGAAGCTAAGGTAATGAATAAAATAACCTTAGATGCCGGTCAACCGTACCGGTTCAGCCTATACATATCATTTCAAAGGAGGGAAGGAGGGCATGGTCACATTTCATAATCCAGTCCAATCACTATTCTCCATTTCTCCCTCCTCTGTCTCGCACATCGTGCCCTCCAGTCTTGGACAATTACAATTTACCCAATAAGCTTCAGAATTTGCCCTCACCCGCTCCTCACTCTCACACACCGCCTCTTTTTTTCACATCACTGGTTCCAGAGCCACGACTGAAAACGCGTTACCATATGTCATCTTTTTCTTCGATGCCACTCCTGACACCTTCAGAATTTTCAAGATCATGATTCATGAGGTTGTTACAGAGTTTGTCCAAGGGGGCTACCTATACCAAAACTCCACATTTTTTCTAGCTCTATGCGAATCATAGCTGATTACTGGTCCTTCCCCTTCTGTTTCACGGGATTTTTCTCGTGCTGGGCTCGCCACAAGTTTCTGTTCTTGCGGCTTTTTGATCCGATTGATATCACAATCTAAGGCACCGTGCCTGAAAGTGAGAAGCTTTCCTTACTGTATTAAAATACTAATGCTCAGTAGTCTGTATGGGTTCTGCTTTGCCAAATTTATCTGTTTGATAGTGGAACACTCCTTTCTTTCTTACTTGTCTGGCATGTATCTGGTAAATTTTGGGTCTGTCCTAGGAAACGATGAGGACTTACATACTGTTTATGTGAATGCAGTAAATCATTAATTCTAGAGTGACAGTGATCAAGAGTTGGAGCTTGACTCGCCTGAGAAATTCCGAACAATGGGCAAATCAACGAGCAGGGACTGGACGCAGATCTACGTGATCTACGGGATTGATCAATGGCAAACACTAATTTTTCTTTTGTGTCAGGCCATCCTCTTCGCTGTCTTGTCTGTTTTCTACCTTCTCTACTTCGACCCCATTTGCGTCTTCTTCGAGCGATTACTCTCAATCGCCGCCGTACCAGCCGTATCCGCCCGATTTGCCGCCGGATTCACCGGCTCCGTCACCGCGCTCTCCGCGCTCTGCCTGTTTTTCGCCGCCGCCAACTTCTTTTACTCCTCTGTCCCACTCCACTACGACATGGCTCAGCGCATCGTCTCTGCCGTAACTGACTGGTCGTCGGTGAAGCTCGCCCTCGACCTCGGCTGCTGCGGCCGTGGCATCCTTCTCAACGCCGTCGCCACTCAGCTTAAAAAGGAAGGCAGTTCGGGTCGGGTAGTGGGGTTGGACGGATCAAAGCGGGAGACCCTGTCCACGCTGAGGAACGCGAAGATGGAAGGAGTGGGAGAGTACGTCACGTGCAGGGAGGGTGACGCGAGGAGGCTACCGTTCCCGGATGATTACTTCGACGTAGTGGTGTCAGGGGTCTTCGTGCACACGGTGGGGAGGGAGTACAGGCCGCACACGGCCGAGGCTGCGGCGGAGAGGATGAGGGCGATGGGGGAGGTGGTGAGGGTGCTGAAGCCCGGCGGCGTTGGGGTGGTGTGGGACCTGGTGCACGTGCCGGAGTATGTGCGGAGGCTTCAAGAGATTCAGATGGAGGACATCCGAGTGTCGGAGCGCGTGACCGCCTTCATGGTCAGCAGCCACATCGTTTCCTTCCGGAAGCCTAGTCAGCATGTGATGGGGCCTGCAGAGGTCCGACTCGACTGGAGATCATGCTGACGCGTCACCATCGATCCTCTTAGACTGAAAGCGTCAAGACTTGTACAAGTTATCAAAGTGACTGGGGAGGCGAAGTCGAACCAGACACATATATATATGTGCTTGAGAAGAAAACTTGCTGTAATATTTATGGTTATGAGCTTATTAACCTGAGAATGGAAGATGCCAAGTATTTGTGTAGAACCGAAATATCTGTAATACCCATATTGAATTTTTAAAGATCGAAGTCGATATTGTGTGAATACATTAGCTCAGCGGCACTTTTTTACTTGGAAACTTTGGCGTGTAAATGAAGCTTTTGTGATTGGCATTGGCTTGTAATTATATTGATGAGCAATGTGTTGTCCCATATGAGGCCTTAGACCATAACGTGTTAAAAGCAAGGAATGGTGATGAATAATGGATGATGGGAGAAAGGGGTGGATGCCTTTTTCTAATTGAATGCAAACATATGTGGAGGTTGTGAATTGACAAGATAGTGAAAACTTTCCGGCACTTGTTGAACAGTCCTAATCATAGATATAGATCTTGGACAGTGAGACTTCATCACTGGTCCGGATAATTTTGGCGAGAGATCACACCCATTAGGATCCACCGCAGACATGTTGTTCTGATGGGTTGTTGCGATGTGACAAGGAAAAGAGTCACATGAGGGTGGGTTTGTTATTTTCTTGGCATGGGAACAAAGTAGAATGTAGAAGAAGGAATGGGAAGCTTTCCCAGAAGCACATGCGTCTGTCATGTGCTTTCTGCAACTCTTAAATGAACCATGTGTTTAAAAACGAGTCCATTAATTACTTCTAAGTATTAATTCAGGATCACATTCATGCTTCTAATTATCAACACTAAGACCACCTCAGGAATTCTCCCGTTATAATATACACTGATATTTAATGCTAATCTGGAACTCCATGATATAAAGCTGCGATGAGGACTCTGCAGCGACTAAACAATTGTGGGAGAAGCGTCGCTTTCCTGAGATGGAAGGCTTATCTGGTGATGATCATCAACACGGCTGTGATTTCTTTAATATGACTTTCAACATCCCATCTGCTGACCTGCATTATTTTATGAAAATGCGTCATGAGGGGCTTCTTCGTTTTTGTGCTTAAAAATAGTCCCTGAGAGTAAGAATGGATAAGCTGCCACTCAGCGACTCCAATCTAGATCCGTCACTGATGGAGAAGATCGTTTTTATAATACTGAAAGCTATACCAAAGACAAAACACTGCCCGCTGTGCCTTCGCATGGTTTCATGGCATACCCTGTCCTGATTAGGATTAGTTTATGCTCCATCGTCTGAATGGTCGAGTCTCTTTTAAATTTCTTTCTAACACAAGTTGTAGTAAAATCGTGTAGAAGAAAACATAAAAAGAAAGACTGGACAGGTTAGCAATTAAGAAATTTTTGCATCCTCTCCAATCTGTTATGCATGTGCGAGAGAGATTTCGGAGGGGTCTAAAAGTTCCAGATCAGGCGTGATAAAAACTGAATCTGCGTATATTCTCCCAAAAAAAAAAAAGCTGAATCTCCGTAAAATAAATAGAGTCTTGAGATTGTGTTCATATCAATGCCCTATGTTTGAAAATAATAAATCTTTTCAGTCTAGATATCACAGAAAATTGTGTATGCTGAAATTCTTGGTGGAATAAATCATGAGATTGTGTTCATTTGGACCTCGAAGATTTTAAGCAGTTATTGGCATAAGACAATGGGAAAATGCTATAGGATTTTAAGAGATTATTGGAATAAGACAGTGGTGAACCATAAAAGGTATCATCAGGTCATTAAATCTCCACCTGAAGCTCGCAACTTATGGTTTCGACCTTTTAACTCTCATGACTACACTTCTCACCAAAAAGAAAAAGGTCGCATAATCAGAGTGACCACGGCCATGCTTGAAAGAATACTTCTGACGCACAGCCATGCTTCAAGGATCCGATGTCAATTTCTTTTCTTTGACAACTGGAAAGGATTTTAGGTCGAGAATGAATTAGGGGTGTTCAATTTGAATTTATTTTAATTGATTCGGTATCGTCTCAATCATATCACGACAAGTCTCGTCTCGTTTCGAAAATAATTAGGACGAAATTTTACGAGACGAGATAAGAAAGAGGTCGGGACGGAATGGGACACGGGATTATTATCCGGAAGTCCCATCCCGTCCCGAATATTTTATATATATATATATATATATATAATTTTTATTTTAAATGTATTAATTATATTAATATAATTTATACTTTATTAATTATATTAATTATAATTTCAATACTTACAATTTTTATTTAAAACTAAATTTTTTTATTGATAATTTTAATGACATGAAATAAACATGACGATATCTTTCTTTATAATGTATTAATTATATTAATATAATTTATTTTTATATCTATCTATTTAATAACTTTATTTATATTTTATTTCTTGCTTTATTTTTAAAAAAATAATTAACTTAGTACATCTTCATTAAAGTAGAAGAACAATAATTTGATATTGTGCTTGACTTACCTGTTGTTGTTACTCTTCTAACCTAAAGATCACTTGTATTTGTCATTATAATGTATAGTTGTGATTAATGTAATTCAATAATTAACTTTAAATTGTTATGATTTATGTACTTGTGTTGTTTTGATTTTAAATTTAATAAATTATATGATTTAAAATTTTAATAAACATTATTATTCATATCTTTCTCCAATATTATCCGATTTATCAAGACGGCGGGATGTCCCGATCTTGTCTTGAACCTGTCCGGACTCCTAACGAGACGGGATGACTTTTGGGACTGGATGAGATGAGATACGGGATTAAAATTTAATTTCGATCTTTCTTTCAGAAGGAGACCGGGACGGCGTCCTGCAAACACCCTAGAATGAATGATTAGTAAATTTGATTTAAATAAATTATTTACTTTAACTATTATATTTTAAAAATAAAATAAGAGAGATTAAGTAACTGTCAACTAGAATTAAAATATGATGACTTAATAGTTAATACATTTTAAATAGATTGATCACAAATAATGTGACACTTTTTATTTATATAAGTATTTCTCTTTTTTAATAAATATGATTTAAGCAAATAATTCAATCTGACAAAATCCGTAACATCGTTGGTGATGATTATAAACAAATTATTAGAAAAATATTCATTTTGTATGATTTCAAGAGTTTTTATCGAGCAGTTGAAGATGTAAATGCTAGTGCATCCCCTCGATTCCAACATGACCTTAAGGCCGCCTTCCAAAAATTTTTAGAAGCTCAGTGCCAATATTGAGAAAGAAATCAAGTTTTTTTTTTTTGGAGTACTTTTTGAGAAAATAAAATAAATAAAACAAACGTCAATGCTGTCCATTGCAATCAGTTGGCTGGGTTATTTATGGGAATAATTAGACCAGAGACCAATATCTTGGAACATAGATACACTCAATACTCTCTTTGGAAGTATAACTGTTAACTGAATCAGGAAAATCCCAAATTTCATTTGGGCAAGGAAAAAGATTTGCTCATATGGAACGGGAATGCATCTGGGAAATTTACATCTCCAAAAGGATTTCACTCTTTAAACCGACAGATTCCTGTTGATCTTAATTGGATAGAGCTGTGGAGACTTGAAATGCCTCCAAAACTCGTTCTTCTTATATGGAAAATCCTCCACTGGGCTATTCCCACACAAGACATTTTAAAATCTCATCATCTAAACACAAATCAACGTTGTGTTTTTGGATGTCAGGAAGAAGAATCGCTAACCTTTTCTTCTCATGTCCATTCTCCAAGGCTGTCTGGTTTGGTGCTCTCAACATCAGATCTTCAATCCTCAAATCAGAAGGATAATCTTTCGAGAGTCATCATCATGATTCATTTAATAGGAGAGAAAAGGAATGTACTCATTCACAAAGGCATCAAGCAGAATCCTCACTCTCCCATCAAGCAGAATCTTGGTCTACACAAGATTCGGCAAAACAAAACTCTATTGCTGCTTTACCTGACCCATTGATCTGTCGTGAAGACTTGATTCCAGGAAGAATAGCTGAAAATTGCCCGGGGAGTCCTGGAAACCTTGTCGACGGCGAGGGCTGGCTCGTTGTTTGCAGGAAATTTAAGGATATATTCTACAAAAAATTCCAAACAGCCTCAATCTTACCTCTCACTCACTCTAAACTGGATCTCCTGCTTTGCTTCGAATCATCGCCTGCAACAAGCACCGGTGACCATTGCATGCAATAGCAGAGGCTCATTCTGCCTTGCCCCATCTGAACAGTCCTCACTTGTTGAAGCAGATATTAATCTTCTATTGCCGTCTTTCAAGAAAGTCAAATTGTGTTTAGTAGATAACAAAGTTCATTTCGGTCATCAATCCCTGGCATCCACCTCAGGAGATTACTTTAGGTAATTATCAAACCTTTTTTTATATCTTTTATTAAAAAAAAGGTTGGTTGGGCTCTTTGTGGTCTAAGCCCATTAAATGACAAAGTTGTCCAAAGCATGGTCCGTTTAAATGAATAAATACCAGAGGCAGAGTGCAATTGGGCTGACGGTGAAAGCACGTGTCCCAATTTTAAATTATGTTTACAATGGTCTCATAATCCACTTGAAAATGATTTCAAGGTCCATCACGCAATTTGCGACAATTTCTTCCATAAATATATTAAAATGTTGGAAAAATATCAATAAAAACTCCTCGACCAAAAAAATTTTGAATCAAAACCCTTAAATTTTTAAAATATTACTGCAATACAGTACCCTAATTTGATATTAAATTTTTAAAAGAGATGATAAAATTGCCTCTTATTCTACTTCACCTGTTAATTTATTTATGAAATATTGTATATTATCCTATTTAACTTATTTTTATTTTAGATATTTAAATTATCTTAAGATAATTTATTAATTTCTATACTGTATGTTATTTATTTACTTATTAAGATAATTTATTAATTTCTATACTGTATGTTATTTATTTACTTATTAATTATTTTTTATTATCTTACTTCACTTATTTATGGAGCTACTTCACTTGTTTAGTGTTAGGCTTTCACTTAATTTCATTCCGGAGAAATGAACTAGTGAAGTAGGGTAAGGATCAATATTGTGTAAGTGAATGAATAAGTAAAGCATAGTAATTCTGATATTAATTTCATTGAGAGGCAATTTTGTCACTTTTTAAAAAATTTAATATCAAATCAAAACTCTTAAACTATAATAACATTTCAACAACTTAAGGGTTTTAATTCAAAACAAGTCAGATCAAGATGTCTTTATTAATATATTTTATAAATTTTTTCTCGATAGAATAACAATTTAAAACCCGATAAAAATATTAGTGTGAATCTCAATTGAATCAATAAATTTTTTATTTTGCATTGATTTTCTAACAGGGTTTTAAATCGTTATTCTCCCTCGCTTTCTTGTTCCTATAACACCAATTTAGTATCAACTTATGTTAGTTTTAACAGCAGGGACTTTTATTTTTTAACAAATGCTTAAGGATTGAATTTCACCCCTTTATATATAATGAGAAAATTTATATGGCTTCTATATCTTGAGAGATGTTGGTTTTTTTTAGGAAAAATATCAAGGACCATTGAGAAAAATTTATATTAATTAATAATTACTTATTGTTAAAATTCGAATAGATACTTATTAATTTGAATTAGTCTTTTATTAACAAATATCTATTCAGATTTTAATAATAATTTATTCTAAATTAATAATAATTTATTTAAATTTTTTTCCATTTGAATTTTGATAACAAATAGTCTTTAATTGATATAAATTTTTTCTTTTATTTATTTGTAGATGAAACTCCTAATGATGCAAAAAAAGGAAAAAGGAAAAAAACAAAAAACAAAATGGTTCGGATTTAACTCCCATCTGTTGTAGAATCTAATCAACAGTCTCCTATAAAATATTACAGGAAAAGATATGTGAGCAAATTCTGGTCGCAAATATGCCAGGTTCAAACCAACCCAGCCTCACACCCTTGCAAATTTTTGACCCATGTGTTCAGCGCACCACGGCTATCGTTCCAGGAATATGTTTGGACATGGCATCTCAGATGCAAAACAAAATATCTCTTGAGATGAGAACTTGCCCTTAAAAATTGAATAAATCGTGAAAACCCGCCGAACAGACATTTTAAGATAATCAGAATCTTATGCGTCACTTTCGTTGCTATTATATTGTATTATATTTCTCTAAAATTCTCGTGGTTTGTGGTGTTCTGAATTCGGAGTGACTCAAGGGGCTATCTATCTTTTGGGCCACCCGGATTTATGATTCGTTTCCCGGTGGACCCTCATTCCTGAGCCTTTACGCCATTTATTTACCCAAATAATATATATTATTCTCCCCTTCCTAAATTACAAAATAATTTAAAATAAAATTAGACATACTAATAAAATATAATAATAATATTTTATAAAATTAAATTTTATAATAAAATTATAAATTTTAAAAAGTCGTTTAATTATCTCTCCACTTAAAAGATAATATTATAAAAGTAATACTAATAAAACTTTATTTTACTCAAATTATTTTACATTTTTGGACAAAACATTCCTTCAAAATTGTCTTGTAACTTAGGAAGGGAGTATTCCAATCCTTAATATAAGATGAAGATAACACATTTCATATTTATTAAGAAATATTAGATATAACCTCAAAATTGTAAAAAAAAAAAAACTCCTTCAATTAAAAAATTTAAAAACTAAATATCACATTCTAATAAAGTAATTATTCGTTTTAAAACTAATAACTTCTTTTTATATTTACCTAATAAAATAGTGTTTCATTTTAAAATAAATATAATAAATTTATTTATTTATTTATTTATTATGACACTTTTAAAAAGGGTATATTAATTATATATTAAAAATATTTTATATTTTTTAACACATCATTCAAAAAGCATCTTACATTTTAATTAAGGGAGTGTAACTTTTCAATTTTACCTTCTTTGTAGTTAATGTGTACAATAAATTATTGTTTAGAAATTCTAAGGGATAAAATAAAAAAAAAACATCAGTTACCCTAATTTTATGTTATATTTAGAATAAAAAAATTTCAAACTTCATCTTATATTAGTATTAACATGTACTCCCTCTATTTAAAAATATAAGATATTTTTAATTGAATCTCACCCCTAATAAAATAGTTATTTACTTTTAAATTAATTTTTTATATTTATTTTTATTAAATACTCTATAATAAATATAAAGTCACTATCAATAGGAGAACTTTAGAAAAAATAATGATTACATCTCGAAAGATTAAAAATATTTTATATTTTTTAACATTAACTTCTTAAAAAATACCTTATATTTTTAAATAGAGGGAGTATTAAAATAATTATTACCGATAATGATATTCTTTTTATCATTTTGTAAGAAGTTGAATATCTTGATAAATTAGCAGCACGAAATAATCAAGTTGGGTAACTAAAAATCAAAAATGTAATGAAATAATCTGGATGAAGTTGAGTCAACTGTGGGCATTTATTTTATTTGATTTTGTATGCGAACCTGTTTATCTAATTTTTCTGATGTCAGAATCACATCCACCACTTTCTTGTGGACGCCATTTAACGCCTACATTTTCCCCGATCATCAGAAGCTAAACTTCTCTGTCGCCCACCTCACCGTATCAACTTATAGCCCCTCCCTCAGAACCAATTACGTGGACCACGAACACGTTGTTAGTGTCAAGTTTTTCCACGTCAGATGGGGCACACGCGATTACGAACACTGAATCACGAGATGAATCACCAACCAATATGAGCGAGCCTGAGACAACCAACTTGGAAGAACGCGGTGGTCAGGCTCAGACTCTGATTTACTCAGCTTCCTCCCGACTCGGCCGCTTGGCTATGGCTTCAGTCCACAGCACTATAGCTCCCCAGAGCTTCGTGTCTCTTTCCAAAGCAAAATCCAAATCCACAAAATCAATGCCCACGCCGAATTTTCTGGGCTCAAGGATTTCCCAGAATTCAGTTTTCTCGCAAAACAAACGTTCACGAAACTGGGTTGCCGTCAACTCGGCGGTGGAGGAGTTGGACGTGATACCCGTACAAAGCAGCGACAGTACGGACCAGCAAGAAGGCATGGCGGTGGTGAGTCGGATTGAAATTGAAGGCGGACAGGGGGAATTGGCTACTCAGGTGAGTGGGTTTGGAGCCAATGAGGGGGTTTTTTCGTTTGAAGGAGCGGGTGAGTTTCAGGGGTTTTCTTCTGCTTCGGCTTCGGTTGGGGATGAAAGCCGGAGCGAGAACGAGGAGGAGGTGGAAAGGCTGATAGACAGGACTATCAATGCCACTATTTTGCTTGCGGCGGGTACTTTTGCCATCACCAAGCTTCTCACCATTGATAGGGATTACTGGCAAGTAAGTCAACTACGCTATCTGCGGCTTTTTTCTTCCTCCTGTAATTATCTTGTATGGGAAATGTGCTTGGGCTTTCTAGACGACCGATTTAGTCTTCTCTTGCGTCACTCATTGCATTAGAATTTGTAATTTTATATGATTTATGCTGATAAAATGGGTCGAAATCTATCTATTTTTGGTCGAGTTGCAGGCCTTTTATCATTGACAACTAGAAACGCATTCTTTACATGAACTTTTGCCGTCATGTAAGCATTAGTTATCATTTGGATGCAAGATTGAGTCCCTTCATTCCCTTAGCATGAATTTAAAATTTTGAATTGAAAAATCGACATATTTGATTGCAAGTCTTAGGAAGGTTCCCCCTTTCCCCGCCCTCTGCAATTCTTTTAGTACTAGTTTCATCACCACATATTTCGTGTTTGTGATGATCTTTTGAGGTTTTCATTCTTTACTGGGCTTATGTTTTTTGGTTACCATTCAGGGATGGACACTTTATGAGATACTAAGATATGCACCGCAGCACAATTGGTCTGCTTATGAGGGAGCTCTCAAGACAAATCCAGTTTTTGCCAAAATGGTGATCAGTGGTGTGGTATACTCTATAGGGGACTGGATTGCACAGGTGAGTTTCTATAGTTCAGGTGCAAGTATAACTGAAGTAGAATTCATTCAAAAACAAAATCCAGTCTTTTAAGTGACCGTGCATTGTGACTTACCCTGGTTTTACAGTGCTTTGAAGGAAAACCCCTTTTTGAATTTGATCGTGCACGAATGTTCAGATCGGGTCTTGTTGGTTTCACTCTACACGGCTCTCTTTCTCATTACTATTATCAGTTTTGTGAGGTATTTCTTTGTTTCATTCCCTTACTTCGTTGCTCCTTGAAATTAGTAATCTGGTTCGTTACGTGCTAATTGGCTTTCTTATTAACCAGGAGCTATTTCCATTTCAAGACTGGTGGGTAGTTCCTGCCAAAGTTGCCTTCGACCAAACTGCATGGGCAGCCATTTGGAACAGCATTTATTATGCCGTTGTTGGATTTCTGCGCCTTGATTCTCCAATCAATGTCCTTAAAGAATTGAAGGCAACATTTATTCCTATGTTGACTGTAAGAACTATCGGCCTTCACCTATTTCTTCTTTGTTTTCTTCCTTAGCTGTTAAACGCCATAGTTGTTGGGAGGTTATTGGTTTCTTTGTTCACTGTGCAAGTTCTTCCATGAATGAGAGAATTGAGGACCTTATTATACATTTTATGATGATATATTTGACTAAGCTTATGCGGTTCCAAGTTTTGTAGCTCTCAGGTTTCATTATACTTGACTTGTAACGACATTTAATGTAAATTTCTTGCCCCTAATCTTGAATTTCTTACCTTACACAGGCTGGGTGGAAGCTTTGGCCATTTGCCCATCTCATTACTTATGGTGTGATCCCAGTGGAGCAAAGACTTCTCTGGGTGGATTGCGTAGAGCTTATATGGGTGACAATACTTTCAACGTACGTGTTGATCTGGATTTTATTCTTGCATTACAAAAAATTGCTTGACACGTCCTACCAATTAAGTCAATTGATTTGATTGCCGGGGTTCTTTAATTCTTGTTTTTGTTCCTACTCTTTTATTCTGGGAGGCATGGAATTGTTTTTCTTTTGTATCAGTGTTGTGACACTTGTCTCTACATTTACCCCTTATGAAATCCTGCCATTTAATTTCTTAGAGGCTGAGTAGTTTTGGAAGTATAAACTAAAGTAGAAGATACTTCCAGCTTTTCCCTACGTTGTTTATGAGACTATTGTGCATGGTTCTGTTCTGACATCATTGATCTTTATTCTCCATAGCTACTCAAATGAAAAATCGGAAGCAAGGCACTCAGAGTTACCTGCAGAAGTGAAAGCCACTGCTCCATCTGCGAATCCTCCGGAGGTAACTATTGAATTTGCTGATTTTGAATACGCATGCAAAAAAAAAAAAAAAAAAAATCTAGTTACTCCTGGATTGTCGAGTATCAGCCTTGCGTATGTTTATCAGGAGTAACCCAACGAACAGAGGCAGGAATAGGGGAGATTAGTTCAGCTCAGTGAAAACTTCGAAGAAGTATGCAAGATGCTGGATCTTGATTTGAACAATGATGTAATGCAGGCGATGGAAAAGCCCATGATATGTGTGTATATATTGCATATTTTGGAAACTCATGGATGTCGTGCAACATCAATTTCTCTGGAAGCGTTACAAAAGTGTAATTCCTGATATTCTTGATAATAACTTTTAGGGGAAATTACACGTGGTAAATATCTTCCCGACACCCCCCCAACAACTATAAAATAATAATAATTAAAAGTTGCTACTGACCACTTGATTTATTAGTGCAGTCACAACAATTTATCTAATTATTCAAGTTTGTTCTTAAAAAAAGAATTTACGAAGTAGCATTAAAATAAAAAAGATAGGCAGTTATTGAAAGTCTTAAAAAGGGGTTTGTTTTTTTAGATGATAAAAGGGAGGTATGGAAAAAGAAAAGGAATATTGTAATTAATATATAACATTAATACACTAACATAGTCTCATTATTTACAAGTATTGCAAGTACGTAGTATAATAAATAGTCTTGTCATTAATATGAACTAACTAATAGCTACACATGTCACATGTGCCTAATCAGGCAATCTTGACAGTGTTATATTTTAAAATATCTGATTCGTATCGTATGCATGCACGCAGGTTCGCAGCACGGGTACTCCTCCATAATATATTAATAGAGTTCGTACGACTGGATATTTTGATTATTTACAAATCAAAATATAACATAAAATAATAATATATATTTATTATTTGCGGAGTTTAGAAGATTGTATAACAATAATCGAAACATAATAATTTGAAGATTGTGATTTGTGACGATGGAATTATAATGGAAATATCATTAAAATAAAAAATAAATTATAATGGGAGAGACGGATATTATATAATGGAAAAATCGGAACAGAAGAGACGGATCAATGTACATCAAAGTGTCAACAAAACTTAAAATATTCTACCAAAAAAAAAAAAGGACACTACCAATATATTTGCCTGGTTCATAATTTACCTAATGAAGATGAAGATGTTGGGGCCGAAGGCTTTTGTAGCCATCGTCGTGGCTCTGAGCTTTCTTCTGTGGAGCCATGGAGGAATTACTAGTAGTTTTGTCAGAAAGGAGGGGGCTCCTCTTCCCATGCCCTTCGATAGTGATGCTTTCAGAACGCCTTCTGGTTACAATGCTCCTCAACAAGTAACCAAATCTCTTCATTATACTCCCCATTTTTTTACAAAATTTTCAATTTTTATTCGAAGAAACCAATGATGTAAGTGCGTCTACATATATACGTAGGTTCATATAACGCAAGGTGACCAGGTAGGGAAGGCCATAATAGTGTCGTGGGTAACGGTGGACGAGCCAGGATCAAGCCACGTGCGTTACTGGATTGATGGCTCTTCCCATAAGAAATTGGCGAAGGGAAGACTCAACACCTACCGATATTACAATTACACTTCCGGTTTTATTCATCACTGCACCCTCCGAGGTTTGGAGGTACGTCGTCGTCAGTTCAATCTTACTGGTGAACGAGAATTAGAATCTGGATTCATATATATACTTTCCTTTTGTGCAGTTTGATACTAAATATCACTATGAGATTGGAATAGACCACACTATTCGCCAATTCTGGTTTATCACTCCTCCTGCTCCAAGCCCCGATGTGCCTTACACATTCGGTCTCATGGGTTAGTCTATTCTATCAAAATTGATCTTTGTTTTGCTATTTTACTTTGGAGAATTCTAAACTCGATCGCTCTCTGTATGAGATCTAACAAAGTTCAAAAGCACACGTACGTATTTCAAGTTTGCTATGGTAATGGGGGGTTTGTTTGCAGGTGATCTGGGTCAGACATATGATTCAAACAAGACTCTTGACCACTATGAGAGGAACCCCGCCAAAGGACAGGCTGTGCTGTTCATGGGAGACCTGTCTTACGCAGATGACTACCCAAATCATGATAACAATAGGTGGGATTCATGGGGAAGGTTCGTGGAAAGGAGTGTTGCTTATCAGCCTTGGATTTGGACTGCAGGCAATCATGAACTTGACTTTGCCCCAGAATTGGTAAGCTTCTCATTTAGTCATTTCTATGCTCGTTCAATCGTTTGTTAATTCATTTGATTTTTCAAGACAGAAAAGGTTGTACTTATTTAGTGTTGGTGATATGTAATTTCAGGGTGAAACCAAACTTTTCAAACCTTTTCACCACCGGTATCATACCCCTTATAGAGCAGCACAAAGTACTTCACCCTACTGGTATTCCGTCAAGAGAGCTTCAGCACACATCATAGTCTTGTCCTCATACTCAGCATATGGTATAAAACTCCTCATTTTTGTGGTTTAAAGAACCTCGTGGTACCTTGTTCATCTTCATTCATTACTGGGCATGAATCTTTGTTAAACTTTTCAGGGAAGTATACCCCTCAATACGAATGGCTCAAGAACGAACTGCCAAAGGTGAACAGGACCGTGACACCTTGGTTGATCGTTCTCATGCATTCTCCTTGGTATAACAGCTACAACTATCATTACATGGAAGGAGAATCCATGAGAGTCATGTTTGAACCCTGGTTTGTTCAGCACAAAGTAGACGTTGTCTTTGCTGGTCACGTCCACGCCTATGAACGATCCGTAAGTGTTATTGCTCTCTAGCCTGTCTTGTTCTTACTTTGGTCTATCTATTCTTAGATATGACCCAGATTGTTATGCTTATGAAGCACACATATTAATTATAAGATGCAGCAGATGTTCTGAAACACAACATGATGTGATATTTGGTGATGACTAAATTGTTCATGTGCTAGGAACGAGTGTCCAACATTGCATACGATACAGTGAACGGACGGTGTGAGCCAGTGAAGGATCTGTCAGCTCCTGTGTACATAACAATTGGAGATGGAGGGAACGTTGAAGGGATAGCCAACAAGTAAGTTTTGTAGCATAGGAATAGGATAAGACTAATTAAAGCCTGTTTGTTTAGGAATATTTGAACGAATGTTTAACAAAATGTGGTGTTATTTTGTGTATGGTGCAGCATGACAGAGCCACAACCAAAGTACTCAGCATTCAGGGAATCTAGTTTTGGGCACGCCATTTTTGAGATACAGAACAGGACACATGCTTACTATAGCTGGTACAGAAATCAAGATCGAAGCTCTGTAAAGGCTGATTCCATGTGGTTTTTCAACAGATACTGGCACTCCGTTGACGATTCTACTGCAGCTGCTCCCCATTAGTTGTTGTTGTTGTTGTTTTTTTTTTTTTTTTTATCCCTCGTTTTAATTTGGAACAGCTTAGGTAGTTTTATATTTCAGATTACATTAGTAGTTTCTTGTTAGTTTTGAATGTCATCGTGCTTAGAGATGAAATAAATAACGTGAATGGACGCCTATGCATCTATCTAAATAATCTTTAACAACAACGTCATTTGGATATTCAAAATTTTAACTGATATGAATATATATCGCATTATTTGTGGCAACAGAAAGAAACGCTTGAATTCACCGAAACCAACAAAGTACAAAGTAATCAAAACAACAGACTAGGGAGGTGAATTCAAATACCGAGCAATGAAGATTTAAATAAGTTCCCATTTGGTTATAGGTATCTTAGCCTATGGAATGGTAATCATGTTTTTATTTTTATCTCATCCATGTTTGTTTGTTTGTAAGAGATATGGAATGGTATTTTCTAAGAATGTGGATTGCCATTTTTTTAGAAATGGGGAAGCCTTTGAAAAATGAGAGGAATTATGTTATCCACCTTAAATCTAATATGATTTTATAAAAATGTCCCTGTTAACCACACCACCTTTTTATTTTTAATTTTATTTATTATTTTCTCTTTATAATATTTTTAATCTTATAAAAAATAATATAAATAAACTCTATTTCTGCATATTTAAATATTCTACCAAACAAATTTACACTTATGATCATTTCGTTTCTTTTCATTCTCTATCATTTTATTCTTTTTCATTTCCTTCTTTTTCAGGAACCAAACGTGACTTAAATTGTTTGTTGATTTAGATTAGTCATTAGTGCTTGCCACATCCACAGTCCTCTGCTTTACCCTGTTTCTTGACAACGTCATTGCTGATGACCCCGTCATCTCCATGATTGCTCAGTGCTATTTACGCTTTTGAGCTTCAAACTGCAATACAAGCATCTCCGCTACTCTAGACCATGGCCACACCTCTTGTGAGACTCTCCACCTTCGCTGCTTTCCTCTTCCTTTCCCATACATATAATATAGCAACACGCTTCTTGAAAATTTCTTAATTAGCATTTATTTAATTCTCTTATATTAGATGTTTTTTTTATTTCTCATTTATCTTAACGCCCATAGTACCCGTCCTGATCCCTCCCTTTTCCAGTTCCTTGGCGCTCCTAATTGCAGAATCCATGAAGCTCGTGTTTGAGTCCTGCTTTGTTCAGTACAAAGTTGATGACGTCCCCGCCTATACATGGATGATGTGATTGTTATTGTTCTCTCTAGCTCTCTCTGTTTTGTTTTGTTTTTTTGTTTTTTTTTGGGTGCTAAGTCTCTTGGTGGTCCACTTTCCAGTTTGCGTCATGTGTCACTGCGCTTTTGCTCTCATTCTTGTTAAGTAGAATTGATTTGAGACGATGACTCCTCATCTTCGTCATTGGTCGGAGCTATCTATGCTTTGGAGATCTTAAAGCAATACAAGGTACAAGCTTCTCTGCTTCTCCAATCCATGGCTACATCTCCTATGAAACTGTCCACCTTCACTGCTTTCCTCTAATATTGGCCTTTGAGCTCCTACTCCAACAATGGCGGCATCTGTTGCCTTTCTGCTAATATCACCGCCAATGAATAAAAAATACACCCACACTTGATTCACTGTAAACTTGTGGAACTTTTTGCACAAAAATCTTCGTCTTCATTTATCTGTGGCCACAATCCTCTAACCTCTGCTCATTTTGTTTCAGGAGCTGTGACAGCCGTGTAAGCAGCATCTTGTAAAATACCCATAAACGTCTCCAACAATGGCTATTCGTGCAATGAGAGGAACGGGAGGGTGAACTAGTAGCATAGTGAATCAAAGATATCTTTGCTCTGTTATCACGACTATGCTGTGTGTAACCAGATTAAGGAGAGAGAATGCGAAATGGGAGTTTCGCGAGAGAATGATGATACTCAAGTTTTTGTCAAAGATACATAGACTGATGCACGACAGATTTAACAATACATCACCATACCAGGTAGACGAATTGAAAATTGAAGAAACATGTTCTTGTCGTATAAATTTCTTCTTCAATCAAAATAACTAACAAGTGCCTCGGCCGAAGGGCCGTTCTCCAGTGCCAATTCTTATATTCATTTATTGTTCATCAGATATCTTTCCACAATTCATATGGTGAATGCAAGCGTCCGATTTTGATCAAACGAACCACCGCTAAGCTCAGCTTGTGATTAGATTAACATTTTTCACATTGTCAACTTCAGAAGTCAATCAACTAACACTTTTCACATTGTCCACTGTAAACCGACCACCTTCATTTCATTCCTATGCCATGCCGTCTTGCTTATCTTCATCAATTGTCATTTACTCAATTTACCAAAAATATCTTGAGCAGAGGAACTAATTTCATTCCTTTTCTTTTAACTTATATTCAGATACGTTTTATGATGGAGTCAAGAGCTCAACGACTAGAATCACGAGGTTTTAAATTTTAACCAGCACAGTCACCATCCATTCTCAATGATGTATCCTTTTAGATACTCGCTAGAGACTAAACAATTTAGTTGTATGCATACCTTCTTATTGCTCAACTTCAAATGTCAATCCTATCTTCCTGCCTCAAGCTTTTGAAACAAATTCGAGTCAACTCGTCTTAAAAAGTAGTCTTAAAAAGTAGAGACTTGGTTGTAATCACAAGAGAGAATTGTGATGAAGAAAGATGAAGTGGAACCCGAGTTTCAGGCTGAAAAGTTGGGTTTCTCTTTCAAATAGAAATTGCTGGATCCAATTTCAACGAACTCATAAGGCCAATACAATCAGAACAGGACAAATTTATAAATGATGCCGAAGAAACACCAATTTATCAATCATAAGAGTACCCAGGGCTGTATTAACAAGAGTCCGGTGAATCATAAGCATATTTCATCCCGAAAAACCCAGCAGTGGAATAAGGGCGAGAAAAGGACAAAAAAACATATGCAATTTAGCAGATCTGAAACATGGGAAATAGTTCCGCAAGAATAAGAAACACCCAATTTCAAAATTTTAATTTTCCATAGACAAAAGGGTAAGAAAGAATAGAGGGTCATCTAGTTAATTTCAGAGAGTACTCAAACTCAAATTGTACAACAATCCAAGACTAATTTCATTTCACTGGATATAGAGATTTTGGAAAAAAAAAAAAGGACAAAAAAAGAGGTTAAGCCATGGACATCTGAGAGAGCCTGCTCGGAGTTGGCCGGAAATTCAACGACCTGAAGCCGAACCGCCGTGGCGGCGGTGTCAGGGCCCTCCTCAAGATCTCTTTGCTGGCCGGACGCTTCTTCAGTCTGTCCCCCGGCGGTACTAGACACCCGTGACGTGCGCACCTGGCCGAACCGGGTCGATTCGAGCAAGTGCAAGCCGGGCGCGTCCTCGGAGACATGAGCAAGGCCCCCTTTTTATGACCAAAGCTGATACTTTGCTCTATCTTGTCTACGCTGATCGACAACTTCATCTGAACCTGCGACCTTTCCTGGCTCTGAATCTGAAGGGTACTCTGCATTTCAGAACAAGTTATGATTTTGAAAGCAGAAAAACTTGGGGACTTATATGATGGCACTATCAGCGCACGAAGAGAACAAAGAGAAGACCAAATTGGGATGGGGACTTGGTAAATGCCAATGGCAGTGGAAATCAAATGAGGGGGAGCCCAAATGTTTGACCACTATTTATTAGGGTTCTGTGAATTCACTCCTTTGAGATTTGAACGTTGATGATTAGATTGGAATATCCGAGTCGGCCTGCTCTCTTTCCTTCGTTGTCACGTTTAGCAGCTGGAAGCAGTCAGAGCGTGAGACACTCTGAGAAAGAAAAAAGAAAACGTTCCCAAGATGCTTTCAATAACTGGAAATTTGCCACCAGAGCCACTTGACATGTCATTGATGTAAGAACCATGATATTGACACACACACACAAATCTCAGAATAATAGGATAATGGAGGAGAATGACTAATGAGTGAATAATTAATCACGCTCCACGTATCTCTAGAAGTAGAGAGAGGATCGATTTCAGCTCACACAATGTGCGGTACAGCAAAATCCCATCCCACGAAGCTGAGTTGGCTCATCCTTGGGAATTTTGGGCCCTGCTTGGGCCTGTCTCTGGGACGGGACCAGATCATTGATACCTACCAACGTATTTATTTTCTCTTCTGGGGACAGGGACATCCTGGCTGCAGCTCCCATTTCCTGTGCCGCACCTTTTTATTTTTATTTTGTTTTTGTGAAACTGGACTGCGCACATATTGACCTTGGGTACACAAGGTAAATAGTGTCTGCAATTTTTGCAAATAATAATATATTGGATTTGGATCCATAATACAAGCTTTATGACAGTCTGTCTGTCACACATTAATTTAATGAGTGACAAATAAGAAAAAATTGAGTATTGGCTTTTAAATGAGTTTAAAACCGATCTAAACCGAAATGATCAATCCAAACTGAAATGAAATGTCCAAAATTGATTATTGATCAAGTTTGCTTCGATTTTTATAATATATAAATTGATTGGTTCGGTTCAATTTGGTTTTGGTTTCAAAATATAAAAACCGAATCAAACTTGAACCAAACGATTAAAAAATATTATTTATTTATATAATATCTATTTATTATGACATTGAGAGATAGATATTATATTTTGAATATATATGTATAATGTATGAAATTATGAATATAAGTACTAATATTAAATACTGTGATGTTTGGATATTTAAACTTGAGATATTTGTCTGTTTAATGCTTGCTATTAGGTGATGAATTTTCTCCATGAGGATTCCAATAGTGCATCTAATATAATCATGAAGATGATTAGTTAATACTACCCTTATTTTGATTTTCTACTGCTTGCAATCATAAAATTAATTTGCATTATATATATATATATATATATATTAGATAGCACAAGGAAATTAATGAGATCATGAAGATACAATATACTTTAGGCCAATGAAATGAAGAGATGAATAAGATTAATATAATATGAACATATCCTTTTATCTTTGATTCATTTGAGACCGAGCAAAAGATAACTAAAAATTAAATAAAAAAATTGAACATGTATATATAAGATATGTGATTAATTAAGGTTTAAAGACTTTCCATAAATATTTTATGATTGAAATAAAGCATGAGATAAGGAAGGATATTTCATATAATAAAAGAGTGAGCAATGCATAAATAAATTCAAATGAAAAAAAATCCAACTATTATAAAGAGGGAAAAAAGTCAAATAGATTTACTGAAAATTAATTCAAATCTTCACCAAATCGAAACAAAAACTGAATTAAACCAATTTTCATATAAACTAATTAAGTTTTACTCATGAGCAAATTGATTGATTTGGTTCGGTTTGATTG